TATTTTGGTCAAAAATTCTATCTAAGTACAAGTAGGGTCTATATATCACTGTTTTCATATTAGAGTTTTTAAGTTATTAAATATAAATTGTGTGAGAGTATTTATCTACACCTATTCATATTAGAGTTTTAAGTTATTAAATATAAATTTTGTGTGAGAGTATTTATCTACACCTATAGCAAATGCAATCATAAGTTAGTACATGATTTCTCTATGCAAGTGATCTAATGCCAAACTTTATAAATAGGTTTTTAATTTTGTTTCTAGTGGATATATTTAGCGTAATTTTACTAGTGAGATCAAGAGAGGATAGGGCATACGTACGCTAACCTTATGAAGTAAGAATAGGTAAACAACGCAAATTTTCAATGAGAAAATGTAATATAACGTTAGAATGATAAAATATAAATCAAGAATTTAAAAAGTTGATATAATGATATTGAAATAATGTTGTGTTAAATTTGATAACTTGATATAATTATATTTAAATAGTGTTGACTTAGCTTGTTTCAGTGCTTGAAATTGAAGAGACTCCAAAAGACAAAATTATCTTTTTGTAAACTAACAACAATAGATTTTTGCATATTTTTAAGGTTTGATGTTTGAGAGACTTTAAAATATTGAATAATAAGATAATAGAAATAGTGAAAGGGAATGATATATGTAAATATAAAAATAATAATGTGGGTGTATTTCAATCGTCATGATATAAATAAAGAAACAAAATAAATAGCCACGTAATAAAGGAAAATACAATTAGCTGAAAACTATTCCATTCCTCAATCATTAAAATAAAATAATTCCTACATTATCACTCTCTCCTTCTACATGAAAAAGTGAGGGGCCTCTAAAAATTGTCATTGCTTTAGTGATTTTATAATCGAGACGACCCTAATTAAGTAGTTCTTTCCTTCTAATTTACGAAAGTTATCGTTTATATAAATGTTTATGTTTTTTATAAAATGATTTTGACAATTATTACACTTGAGAAAACTAAATTAACCAAGTGTACATTAGGCCTTGGAGAAAATGTGCTTTTTTTATGTACTTAGTGAGAAGCGTGTGTTGTTTTGCTTTTTGTGCTGTTCAATCATCCCTACTTACCATTCAAAGATGAGATGATGGTAAGTGTATGTTATTTTAATATAAGTATCTTTTAGTGATATATATGATTTATTTGTTTATTCTTAATAAAATCTGAATTTGAATGGTTTAGATTTTAAGTTATTAAATATATTTGTTTATATTAAGATTTAACTACTTATTTGATTTGAATAGATCTTGATTATTAAAATCTTCAATAAAATTTTAATATCATTAAGAGATTTTGTACGGATAATTTTTACTACCACTCTGTTCACGACCACCAATTACTGTGGATCTTATTATGGTGGAATATGGGTGCACGTGGTGGTTTCATGGACAGAAAAGGTTCCATCTACGGTTTACACCTAAAAAGTAATTTTAATAATATATTAACAATGTATTTCAAAATATTGGTGAATATATACAATAAATTATAGTTGAAAATAAATTGAAGAAAAATGAATAAAAATATATTCATGATTAAGGCGCGGATATTTCACTCTCTTTAAAGAGAGATTCACGTTTAGTACGACATAATCTTCACTCTAGTACTAGTAGTATAACTCTTGACTTGTCTACTCAAGAATACAACAGTCCAACAACATTGTATAAGTACTCAAATAATTTTGAATTAGTTGTAGAGTCCAAACTCCACCCAATGAATATAATCATTCAAACACTCAACACAAGGAAAAAAAACATCCTTTATATAGGTGAAGCATTTCTTTCATCTAGTAAATGAGAGAGTAGTGCGATATTAAGTGAAGTAAATCATGTATAGTATGGTTACAATATTTAAACTTTAGTGGGGTAAATAATTAAGTGGTGAAACATATTTTAGTAGTTATATAAGTTACACCAAGAAATTATGTCTTCTTTCACCGCTAATTTATTCAAATTAATATTATTATTTTAGCATTAAAATGCAATATACATCAACAAAAATTTTAAGTAATATGTATAAAAATATTATTGAGAATAGAATAAACAAAAAAATTAAAATTCAAAATTCATAAAACTCAAAATCATTTCTCCACCATAATGCTTTCTAAGGCACATTACAGAACCATATATTGATTTTTGTATAAAGTACAGAAATCTCATATAATTGGAGGCCAACTACATCCTATTTCGAAAGTTTTTTTAATTACAAAAATATTAAATTTTTTATTGCTCTCGGATACATTCCTTGAATGTCCATTACATTGTAAATGATACATTACTTAATTGTAGGAATATATCCAAGAGGGGATGAATATATTCGAGAGATTGTGATATCTATAAATTTTTAGAGATTGTGATATCGATTTTGTAATTTTTTTAAATGGTAGAAAATTTTAGAGATTGTGATATCTATAAATTTTCCCTTTTAGATATTTTCAATGTCAAACAACCCCCCCTCCCCACCCCCAGGTCCATTCGTCTGACAACATTATGTAAATAGGACAAAAGAACCTAATATTATCATGATTGGGATCAGTCGATGTCGGACAATTATATGAAAAAAATTCCAAGAACCTAGCTAGTAGAGGGGGGATGGTGAGGTACAATGCAATTTATTACATATGACATTTTGTATTAAAGGCTCTCGTGATTAGTGTAGCTCCAATAAGTCCTGGTGTGCCTGCCCTATATAGAGAGCCTCAAATATGACTTACAAAATATTGTGGAAATTAAAGAACAAGTTATATAATTACCAGCAGGCCAACAGCTTGTAAAAGGTCCTCTCTAGTTGTCATGTTTTACTATTGTTATTGTTTCAATTTATTTTATGTATGTATATATATCTTGCTTTTTATATTTTATAATCTTTTGATTTCAACATTTTATCCTTTTTGTATGAGATCATTAATAATCAAATGACATTTTCAAAATAGGAAAAGGGTAAAAAAGATCTTTCAAATTTTTTCAACTAATGAGAAATAGAATAAATTTGTCATTTATTTGATCTTAAATATTCCCTTGTTGTTAGATGGGCTGACTCAAATTTGCCACTGAACTATGATAAGTAAACTCCAATTGATTATTTTGATCTCAAATATACCATTATCGTTACCCTTAGGGGTGGCCCAGTGGTTTGGGCTTGGGACTTTCATGTTGGAGGTCTCAAGTTCGAAACCCCTTACTTGCGAAAGCAAGGGGTTTGCCTTCTGGGTCGAGCTCGTCGCACCGGGCTTACCTAGTGCGGGTTATCTCTCCTATGTGGTTTGCGAGCTATTGCATAGGAGCGGAGGTTTTACCCTGTGCGCACCCAAAGGGTAGCGGTTGCGGGTTTCCCTTGTCATCAAAAAAAAAAATACCATTATCGTTAAAATACTTGTTTAGATTTACCTCTCAAGTCACTTTTTTCTTCGTCAAATACAAATTATTACTTTTTAAAAATTGTTGAGGAAGAATTAGTGCGAGAAATATTGGGGGAGAGATGATTAGACAAGATATAAGACCGCTTTCAGCTTATCAAGGACATATCTTAGATATAGGAGGGTGTGGAGGACATACATAGATTAGATAGAAGGTTAGTAGGTTGCAATGTGTTGTCTTGTTGTTCGTTCATATTAATAGTCGTAATATTGCTCCTGTAATTTCTTATCCTTCGATTTCTATTTCTATCTATTATTTCTCATAGTTCATATTGTTATTATCTATTGATTCTTGTACTTCCTTCGATCATATGCAGTGTGACACATATCATGAATACTCCTATGTGTACATCGTTGGGAGTTAAGAAAGGTTCATGGACTGAAGAAGAAGATTTTCACTTGAGAAAATGCATTCAAAAATATGGTGAAGGGAAGTGGCATCTTGTTCCTTCTAGAGCTGGTAATTAAACGTTATAATAATACTAGTACTATTTTTCGATTTATCGTTCTTTCTTTCTTAAATTTCATGTTAATACATGCAGGTCTAAATAGATGTCGGAAAAGCTGTAGACTGAGATGGCTAAATTATCTAAGACCACATATCAAGAGAGGTGACTTTGAACCAGATGAAGTGGATCTCATTTTGAGGCTTCATAAGCTCTTAGGCAACAGGCAATTAATTAGTACTTTATAATGTTTAATACTTTAACCTCATATATATTAACTACATAAATTATATTACTATGTATTATATAACATGTCCATTCATGCGGTATGTAGGCACGATGTTGTAAAATGTGTAATCATATCATCTAAAAATTACGTTATTTTGCGTAGGTGGTCACTTATTGCTGGTAGACTTCCAGGAAGGACAGCAAACGATGTGAAAAACTACTGGAATACTCACCTTCTAAGAAAGTTAAATACTAATATTACTAAGAATGAAATAATAAAACCTCAACCTCGGACCTTATCATCAAATGCAAAGAATGTTTCTTGGTGCAACAACAAAAGTATGATCACAAACACATTAGATAAAGATGACGAACAACGCAACAAAGAAATCGTAGTAAATATTTGTGAGAAGCCAACGGGAGAAACAACAACGCTGTCATCGTCTATAGACGATGACAGAGTTGAATGGTGGACAAGTTTACTGGAAAATTGTAATGAAATTGAGGATGAAGCAGCAGTAGTATTGAGCTTTGAGGAAGAAAATAAGTTGTTACCAAATTTGTTGCATCAGGAAAATAATTCACCAATCATGCTACAAGGAGAAAGTGATGGTTGGGGTATTGACTTATTATGGAATCTACTTAATTAATTAATTAGTGTCATCAATATCTCTATTAAAACCTATTTATAATTAATGATATTGTATACTGTCTGATAAGTCCTGTTATTGTCCCTCATTTGCTCTGTAACTGGTAATTTTGTATACTCAGTAACTTGAAGTTGCGTCATTTTATAATTATATAGAATGGAATTTTTACATGTTTGATCAAGTGTTAATGAGTATACATATAAGCATTCCTTTGATATATCTGTCAGCGTTTGGTCCTAGTTCGGAGAGTTTCATGAGCAACAACTACTCAGTGACTGTGTTGTTTGTTGTTGTTGTTGTTTCTGTATCAATATATTTTTCTTCCCTGAAGTAGATCCTTCTTCCAGAAGACTAGGCACCTCCATTATCTAGTTAAGTTGTCCATTAAGAAGATCAAACATTGAATGTAACATCTCTGTTGAATTCTACAGTGAGTAAAGGGAATACAGCTCCTACCTTTAATGTGAGCTCTTCAAAGCATTGCTCTACATTTGCGCGAGTTTTAGCACTACATTCGAGAAATAAACTTCCAAGCTCTTTTGCTAGAGCAACACCTTCCTCCCTGCTAACAGCTCTCTCAGATTCCTGAAATTCCATATCAATTAATCTCCATAGTGAATCTAACGAATATAATGTCAAGGTAAATTTAAGAGATAATTTACACAAATATATCTGAAGTATCACATTTTCTTACGAGTTTCATACCTGACTTATCAGGTATTATCACTAACTATTTATCAAAACACACACCTCGAAGTTGATTAGACCAAGTGTTTGAATACAATTGTCAAAAGGCGAGTGACAGGATAAAGTGTATCTCCAAGCATACAAAGAATATACACAAGCAGAAAACTTACTCTGTCAACTTTGTTTCCGACCAACATCTTAACACAATCCTCATTAGTACAATAAAGCTCCACCTCTTTTGCCCACACATCAGAAAGGTTTGTGAATGTATCTCTCCTTGTCACATCATAAACTACGATTTACAGTAATGTTTATCAGATATAATAAACACAGATACGAAACACAATTATGACAAATTCAGATGAAACATAGTAATAGCACAAGAAATAATCCGGAAAATGACCCTCTTATCATTCATATGACATACCAAGAATGATCCCCTGAGCACCTCTGAAGTAGGAGCTTGTCAATGTCCTGAACTTCTCCTGTCCAGCTGTAGAAGATATGTTAAAAGAAAAATTACAACCTGGCATTAACTCTTCGATACAACTGGGAAAAAAACACACACCTCGAAAAGTATTAGGACATACTTCACAGTTAGTCTTAGCTGTTAGAGAATACAGAAAAATCTTACCCGTGTCCCAAATGGTAAGCTTCAATCTTTTCCCACCAACAGTGAGCGTCTTGATTTTAAAATCGACACCTAGTCGATCATTGAAAAGTTCAATTAGATGCTTAAAAGTAACTGCTGCTAATCCAGCAAAATCCACAATAATGCAACCATAGGATGCAGAGTAATTAGTTTTTCGATAAGAATTATTTTTTCAAGAAAGAACAAATCATGTAGCTAAGAAAAGGGCAGCCCGGTGCACTAAGCTCTTGTTAAATATTAGAAAGAGCTAGAGAACCTAAATTATTGACAATTGGATTAAGATAAGTTTAAATGTGCAATGCTCATCTTCTTTAGGATTCATATAACTAACTCCAACTTAGCTTAATTAACTAAAGCATATCTCTAGTAATATAATTGTTGTTGGATGAAGATGAATACCAATGGTAGGGGTAATATCGTCAACAGCATTAGAAATGAAACTGAGGAGCAAGCTGCTCTTCCCCACTCCTGAGTCACCGATCAATAAGATTTTAAACGACAGATCATAGCTGCTGCTGCTCTGCGTGGCCGTTGATGATCCCATTCTCTTTCTCCCTCGATCAATGAAAAACTTACTCTCTCTAGCTCCACCGAGAAATATGCAATGAAATCCTATTACATATCATTCACCCTTTTATATATATATATAGAGAGAGAAAGTGATTGTATAGCGTATAGGTTTTAGAGAAAGAAAGAAAAATGGGTGGCTGAAGAGTAAGGACAATGTCATTGCAAGTTATGCTTATTCTTTTCCCTTTCTTCTTCTTTCTATCTATTCCTGGAGTGGCATTGAGGTAAATATAGAGTGCATTAAGGGGTCAAGCTCCACCAACAAATATAACCACTTTTTAAACTGCTAAACAAACTTTAGGCAATATTTTAAAATTGATTTGAACTTTAACTATAGAGTATTTTTTTTAATACGAAAATATCATCTGAACGATATACTCTTGGATTAAAGCACCTGATGGCAGACCTCCATTTCAAATTAAAGTTCCTTTATACTGAATTGAAATTCTAGTAGCTATAACAATATTAATACTAGTAATAGTCCAATTTATGATTACGAGGATTCTTATCTAAATACTAATAACACAGGAAATCCAAAAAATATTGTGTTGGTGGTATCTTCATAATAGAAAATGGAAGTACAAAATGTAGAAATGTTATGGCAGTAAAGAAAAGTACTGTAGCCAGAAGAGTTCAAATTTATTTTCTTCCAAAATAATGAAAATCACTATATACATAATCCGTCTTGCGTATTCTCAATTAACGCAAACAGTAGATAAATATCTGCCAACTACAAAATGTTTGAGGATAAGTATGAGGTGTAAACAACAATGTACAAACTCTTCTAATTTACAATTGAACGTGCAGGAAACACCTTTCGGATGAACTGTAAGAAACGCTGTGAATAAAATGTTGGTTCCACAGCAGATATGGACATAGAATCAAACAGAACTGATTTGTATGCATGTTCTATTTTCTTACGTAGGTTGTATTCTTGCAATATGTCAATGATGCCGACATACAATACAACATCGTATACTTCAAGAAACATTTGTGTATCACCTTTCCCGGGTATATGATCTGCCCTTGCTGGCATATTCACTCCAAGCTGAATCTGGAGCCTGCTTAGGGACATGAAAGAAGTGACTTTTAGAATATATCAACAAAAACAGTAAACTAAAAAGGTACAAACTAATCAATAGTAGTTTACACGCGAAATAGCCAAAAATCTGCCTTCCTTAAGGTGAATGTATAAGATTCATGAACTTTCATTCTGGCTCTAGGGCTGGAGACAGGTAGGGGCGAGGGGGGTCATCCAAACTGTGGGGTCCAGTCCCACTATCCCTTTTTTTTGGTGTCAACAATTGCTGCATGCAATTGTCAATTGTTGGCAAATTGCAATAGCAGCAATTGTTGAAAAACACAGCAATTAAAAATGCTTTCGGTGGCACAACTTTGACATACTATGTATAGTGTTGAAATTTGCAACTGCAAATTTCTTCTATAAATAGAGAGCCCTTCGCTCATTCCCAGACACACCAATTCACAGAGAGAGTAAAATATTTAGAGAGCTGTGAGGTTTCCATAGACTATATAAGAAAATAGTCTGTGAAGAAAAATAGAGTGTGAGCGATATTTTTAGTAAGGTGGAAATCAAAAGAGTGTTATTCTTTTTGAGCGTGTAGTAGTCACTTTGAGTATTGTACTCGTAACTACAGTGTAAAATTCCTTACTATAGTGATATCAGTTGCTCCTCTTGGCCCGTGGTTTTTCCCTTATTTAGAAGGGTTTCCACGTTAAAATTCTTGGTGTCATTATTTTCCCATTTTATTTTCCTATTACTTTTACCTATATATATTTTTGTGTTTATCCGTGTTTTCCCAACAAACTGGTATCAGAGCCAAGGTTTTTATCTGAGTATGCTCTGTGGTTGCAGCACAGTCTGAACTTCCACATCAGAAAAGATTTACTTTGGTTTGCAATAACTATATTTTTTGGGGGAAAACAATGGAAGCCAACACAAGTAGAATGGTTACTTTGAATGGTGTTAATTATGCCATTTGGAAGGGGGAAAAATGGAAGATCTGCTTTATGTCAAGAATTTTTATCAACCAGTCTTTACCACTGTAAAGCCTGATAATAAAAACAAGATGAAGAAGTGGAATCTGTTGCATAGACAGGTTTGTGGATTCATTAGGCAATGGGTTGACGATAATGTGTTGAACCATATTTCTGGGGGAGACACATGCTCGAACCCTATGGGAGCATCTTGAAAGTTTGTATGCTCGGAAAACTGGCAACAATAAAATGTTTTTGATAAAGCAGATGTTGAGTTTAAAGTATCATTATGGTTCTCCAATGACAGACCATCTGAATAATTTTCAGGGGATCATGAACCAATTATCTGCTATGGGCATCAAATTTGATGAAGAAATTCAAGGCTTGCTTCTACTTGGTTCCCTACCAGACTCTTGGGAAACATTTAGAACTTCACTATCAAATTCTGCTCCGGATGGTGTGATCTCTATGGATTCCGCCAAGAGTAGTGTCTTGAACGAAGAAATA